ATGATTAGAGGTACTTTCGACGCTGGGACGTGACAGTGTAGAAGCACTCTATCATTATACACGCTATAGCCCATGCGTTAAATATAAGTCCGGAATAATTGTCAATACCACAGCGTTAAGCGAACCAGTAATAAATATCATGTCACGTCGGAATAAGTACATTAACTAACAATTTTGTTTTTCTACCTCAAAATCATTATTTTTCTCTGTAACATGGAATAAAGCCGATGTGGTACGCCCCTTACCAATTCTGTAGCCTCCCACGCGAGCGCCGCACCCCCACCACCAGCGCCTCCCACATAGAGCGCACACCCCACCATAGCGTCGCCGCAGTTTAGAGCCGCCGAATCGAAGCACTTCAGTGCACGGCCAACTGTAGGCAGTTCATCTCGCGAATCCGACTAGAGAGGACCTCCAGTCCGTGAACTCCCTCTTCTAATTCTAATATTAAGAAAGTTTGATTCCAATTCTAGTATTAAGAAATAACTCGAATCCAATCTCAAATCAATTCCATTTCTATTCTAGTGTTAGTGAACCTAACGTCACTCAGTTTAAATTCAAGCTCTTATAAATCTAATTTTAAACAATTACAATTGTCGTGTTTTACAATTTAATCCATCTTTGTATCAATTAATTTTGTATTTAAATACCTTACAATATATAAGTAAAAAGTGATCGATGTGTGTCAAACAATTAATAAATCCTAATCCTCCATCCATCCTAGCGAAACGAACGATCGACAGAGTTCACGAGGTAGAGTGACCACGCGTAAATTAATCAAATAATAAGCGACTCAGGAAGCCGTGTTTCTCTCTTGGCTAGCAAGTTGTGCATTCGCACTACTCTCCACAGAGGGCTACAGGTTTTCATCGTGATAGAAAGCTTAATCTTTTATTCGTAATTTGTAAGGGAAGTAACATCTCCCTTCATGGTCACTCTCAATGCCGAATAAACGCAAAAACCGCGCCGGACGTCAGCGTGCGATTCGTCGAACTCTATATGAAATTAAATCCGCGCTCATCGGTGATTTGAGTGAATTGCTCGAATGCGAAGAAATCTACCAACCAGAATACGAAGGACATTTCAAGAATAACCTGTGGGCTCCAAGTCCCCCGAATCCAGCAACGTCGCCTCCAGACGCCCCACATCCTAGTGTGCATCCCGAGATCCGCCAGGCAACGAGAATTAAAAGCCCGAATCCAGGAACCGGGCCAACGAAAGGTAAGTGAATTCCAATTTCTATCTGTGAATTGCGTTATGTGCAGAGGACAATCGGAAAGCTCACGTCAAAGGAAAACACATTCAGCCGCCGTCTTTAATCATCAAATAAGTATCTCTCGGTGTGTAGTCGAATTCTTATTCCCAAATAAAAAGGGAGAGTGTGCGTCACGGCGGGGCTCGACCACGAACTAGTCGTGAAAACTTGTAATTATTTTGCGAAAAAATACCATCTCAGCCAGGAATCGAACCTGGATCTCCTGCTTACCGGGCTGAGTCGGAGA